GGGCTGCGGGAGTGGGGCCGGGTGAGGAGGAGGGGAGAGGCGGGGCTGCAGGGGGTGGGGCTGCGGGAGTGGGGCCGGGCGAGGAGGAGGGGAGAGGCGGGGCCGCAGGGGGTGGCGAGCCAGCGGCTTGGGCCCCTCGGGAGCCTGGTCGGCCCTCGGTCCCGCCCGCAGGCTGAAGCTGACCCCCAGCCCGGCGTCGCGCGTCACCGTCTCGCGGGCCACGTCGAGCAGCAGCGGCGGCGGCGTGTCCACGGCCGGGCGCCCGGGCCGCAGCAAGCGCAAGCGGCCGGAGGCGGAGGAGTCGCCGGGCCCGGGCTCGAGCGGCATCGGCTCCGGCAGCAGCAGCGGCAGCGGCAGCACCAGCTTCCACCTGGCGCAGCGGGCCTCGGCCTCGGGCGGCGTCGGCATCGAGGACATCGACCTGGAGGGCAGGTTTGTGCAGCTGAAGAACAGCTCGGACAAGGTGAGGGCCTGCAGCGCGGGGCGCGGGGCGGGGGGCGGCCTCCCCGAGCTGTGCGTCAGGCGCCGTGTCCCCTGTGCCAGGACCAGTCCCTGGGGAACTGGAGAATCAAGAGGCAGGTCATGGAAGGGGAGGAGATCGCCTACAAGTTCACGCCCAAGTACGTGCTGCGCGCCGGCCAGACCGTCACGGTAGGTGGCCGTGGAAGGCCGGGCGGTGGGAGAGTGGTGGCTGGGGTGTGGGGCGTTCTTGAGAAGCAGGCAATGGCTTGAGGGGGCGGGGGGGCAGTGGTCGAGTGACTTGGCTCTGGGAAGAGCTGAGTCTTGTCGCGGGTCACCTATGTGCCCTTGGACCCTCCCTGGAGCCCTCTGGAGCCCCGTGGTGACCCGTCAGCATCGAAGTCACAGGCGCCGACCCTGGGGTCTGATGGGCTTCTGGTCTCCGCTCAGCCTGCGTTTGGTGACATGAGCCCTTGGCCACCAGACCTCAGTGTCTTTACTCTGGCAACTGTCCTCCATCCATGGGACCCAGGGGGCAGGGGCCGGGCACTGGCTGGTGGCACGTGGTACTGGGCCTGGAGCCAGCATTGATGGGGAGGCCCTCCTGTGTCCCCAGGTGTGGGCTGCTGGTGCGGGAGTGGCCCACAGCCCCCCCTCGACACTCGTGTGGAAGAACCAGAACAGCTGGGGCGTGGGCGAGAGCTTCCGGACCGTCCTGGTCAACGCCGACGGGGAGGTAAGTGCCCGAGGCCTGCTGGGAGCCACTTCCATCCTGGCCCCGGAGTCCCTCCTGGGGTCCCCATCTCACCCTTACCGCCCCACAGGCCCAGGGAGCACAACCCTGGGTTCAGAATGTGGCTCTCGGTGTGCCAAGTCGCGGCTGGAGCACCCTGGCCTGACCACCACCGTGACGGGCTGCGCCCCGCTACCCAAGGGGTCAAGTATGGCCTTTCTCCTGCGCAGGAAGTGGCCATGAGAACCGTGAAGCAGTCCTCGGTGGTGCGGGAGACGGAGAATGGGGAGGAGGGAGAAGAGGAGGCAGCGGAGTTTGGCGAGGAGGATCTTTTCCATCAACAGGTAGAGGCCCCCAGGTGGCACATGGGGACGCACACTCGGACATGCACACGCACGCGTGGATGTGCATGTGTACGCCCACCGGCAGGTCCCGGGGCGGTGCTGCTCCCGCTGCAGCGTCTGGGCAAAGCTGGCGGTGGCTGGTTCTTGTCACCGCCCAGGCCTTGCCCCCACTGGAGGGCCGCACGCCCGCCACCCCCCCAACCCCCACCAGAGGCGGCCTGTGGGGGGAATACCCTTGCCTCCTGGCTCCTGCCCCTTGTGTGGACCTCAGGGTTCTGGCCCGGGGTCCCTAGGAGTGGGGTGTTGAACCCCAAGCACCTCCGGGTGGCACCGGTGTAGCCTCGAGGGTCCTCAGTGAACGGGCTCTGAGGCCACTGCTCCTTCCCGCCAGAGATACCGGGGCTTCATAATGGTGTTCGGGCGAAGGGTCCCTGAGCCTCTGGGGCTGAGCTGCAGCCCCTCTGCGTGGTAAGACTCGTGTCTGACCTTTAAGTCCTGACGGGCTGTGTAGCTGGGAACAGAAGCAAGGGAGACATCGAAGGTTCTGGATCAGGGACAGCTGAGGCTGAAGCTGCCGGCCCCGTCGACTTGCTGGGCGGGGAGGGGGCGCAGGCCCTGGTGCGGCCCCTCCCCGGCAGGGGTTGGGGGACCTGCCTGGCCAGGTGGGCATGTGCAGGCCTCTGAGGTTGCCGGCCTTTCTTTCCAGGGGGACCCGAGGACCACCTCAAGAGGCTGCCGCGTGATGTGAACGGAACACGCCTCATGGATGACCTGTCTTTACCCAGAGCCACCGAAAACTATTTTTATATCATTGGCTGTCTTTAGTCCTTGATACATTTCTAGAGAATTTTTAGCATACTGCCAGAACATGGGGGCGGGTCTCTGTGATCTTTCCTATCGGTGGGCTTCCTCGGACCCTTCCTTCACCACTGGCCAGACTTCTCTTTGGTGCCCATTTCACCATTTGGTTGAATTCGAGGCCGAAGAACCTGATGGCTGACGGGGGTGGGGCGGGGAGGCTGGAAGGCCGGGCCAGGCTCAGGGGCGGCTGCCGGGGCTGCGGCTCTTGTCTCCGGGAGCCGCCCTGTGAGCCTCGAGCGGATGGAGAGCAGGGCTGCCTGGGAGTTCAGTCGTTCTATGAAGCTCCTTAGAAACCAAATCCAGAATCCAGGTTCTGACCTGGGGCGGGGGGTAGGCGCATCCCCTGTGGAATTTTGGTGGCCCGGCCGCAGGTGCTGAGGGGCCGGGGTGCAGGTTTTGGCTGCCCGGCCTGGGCTCCGGGGCTCTGGTGTGTTTGTGGTAGCGATGGTGTGCGGCCGCAGGCCAGGTTTCTACGCACGTATCGAGGCACTCCGCAGTGGGCCTCCTTTTCCCTTCCTGGCTGTCTGGCCCTCGAGTTTCTGGAGCTTTCTTAGTCCAGTTCCCAAGCTTGCAGGACCAACGGGGCAGGAGAGAGAGATGGAAACCCAGGGAACAGGGACAGCTCCGTTTGGAGACCTGTCACCAGGTAAATGGCCAGGGGACAAGTGGAAAGGGAAATGGGGTCACCTTGGAAGCAAGTGCCCCTGGTTTCAGAGCCACTGTCCACAGGGAGCAGCCACTTCCTGCCCTCTGTGAGGAGAGCAACTTGAGGGTGAGCCACTGGACCGCCCACACCGCGTTTTCCCACTCTGTGCCTTGTGCATGGGGCTGAGTCCCAACGCCCGCCGTCCCCTGTATGTTCTTGTGTGTGCCCCGCTAGCTTAGCTTCTGTGGTGACCTCCTCGCTGAAATGCTGTTTCTCAGACATGCCGGTGCTGGCTGATTCCACAGGATGGCCCCATGGCCGCCAGGCCAGCTCCTGGCCACCCGGCCACCTCCACGTTCGCTTCCCATTTGTACCCCCTCCCACATAGATACACAGAAGTTATTTTTTTAATGGATATTTATTTTTTTACATTGGTCCGTACTCAGATTGCCGGATTCCACTTGAGGCCTCATGCCAGCGTCACTGGGACAGCCCCCCAAGGGGCTGGAGTTGAGGGAGGCTATCTCGGTGACCTCTGAGGCCCCAGACGGCAAATTCCTTCAGAAAGTGCAGCTCGAGTCTTCAAGACGTCATACTGAGCCATGGAGGCACGCTGCCCCCAGAAGGCAGCCCGTTTACAAAGCAGCCAGCCCTTCCCAGCTCGCCCCAGGCCGGGAGCAGCACGCCTGCCTCCCACCTCGGGCGGTCCCCCCACCCCCGTCTCACTTCCCTTGGAAACTGCTTGTGGCCAGAGGGTCGGAGGCTTCTGCTGCGTCGAGAATTTGCCCGCAGCCCCTTGCTTTAGGTCTAGTTCTTTCCATGGCCACCCGAGCGCTCGGTTCTTCTCGTGGACGGAAATGTCTCACCACTCCTCCCACCGTTTCTGGTGGGCCCTGGGGAGCTCGCCCCGCACATGACCTTTCCCATGAGGGCCCCCGGCTGTGCATCCCCCCACCCCGCGCCCACACCTCGGGGACCACGCGCACGGTGCGGGCCTGGAGTGCAGAGGCTTGCGGCATTGGGAGGGTGGGGCTGGGGTCCTCCCGAGTGTGCCCTGGCCTCGGCCACGTCCTGCGAGGGGTCTTGGGGGTCTCATGGGCAGGGAGTGGGCCCCCCTCGTGTCCGGCAGGTGGTTTCTGCGGTCTTCAAGCCGGTTCCCCCCCTTCCGCCTGCCCCGTGGCGGCCCTGGCCCGGGGGAGGGGTGCCCGCAGGTGGGGGACGGGCATTGGCAGGGAAGTGCTGGGAGATCCAGAGTGGAATCCAGTGTTACAACGTCAGCGCCGGCCTGGGAAACAGTTCGTAGTCGTCATTCTTAGCTCTAAGCCGCTTTAAAGGACGCGAGACGGTTCCCTCTACCCGGCCAGCGGCAGCTCGGCGACCCCCGGGTGCGCTCTGGCCCCGCGGCCTAGGGCGCGCCCCCGCCGGAACACCAGCACGACCTGCCGGGGGGCCGCCCCGAGCGAGCGCCGGCCGGGGGGCCGGGGGCGGCGTCCACGAACTTGCATGCCAACCGTGTGGTCTTTTTCTTTCTCCAGTGATTTGTAATATGCATTTTATGACTGGAAACTTTTTGTACAACACTCCAATAAACATTTTGGCTTTAAGTGCTGCCCCCGAGTCCGCTCTGACACAGCTTCCCCGGCCCGGCGAGAGGGGGGCGTCGGAGACCCCCGCCGCTTTGCCCGGGCCTCCCGTGCCGGCCTGCGCCTTCGGTCACGTGACGCGCCTGCCGCGGGCGGGGGGGCCTCGTGCGCATGCGCGGCCCGCACGGCGAGCCGGGAACGTCCTCTCAGCAGCCCCCGTACCTCCCACCCGCCGGCACCATGTCGGAGACACCCGCGGCCGGCGCGGAAGCCGGTTGTAGACCGCGCTTGCGCGGAAAGTGGGGGGGAGGGGAGGGGCGCACGGCCTTGTGGTAGTTGTAGTCCGACCCGGCTCCGCTCCCAGCACTCTCGGACTGCATTTCCCGTGGTGCCCTGGGCGGCCGACTTCCGGCGTGGGTACGGGTTGGCGCACGCGGTCTCGGTTCGGTTGGCTTTGCGGAGCCATGGAGGGTGGCTTCGGCTCGGATTTCGGGAGCTCCGGAGGCGGCAAGCTGGATCCGGGGCTCATCATGGAGCAGGTGAAGGTGCAGATCGCCGTGGCTAACGCGCAGGAGCTGCTGCAGGTCTGGGGTCGGGCCGGGGCGGGTGCTGAGGGCGGCGGGGTCCGCTGGGGGCGGGTGTCGCGGCTGAGCTCGCGTGTCCCCACAGAGGATGACGGACAAGTGCTTCCGGAAGTGCATCGGGAAGCCGGGGGGCTCCCTGGACAACTCGGAACAGGTGAGACCGGCGGGGCCGCGGGGAGGCACCTGCGCGTGCGCGGCCCGGCGGGCGTTGCGGTGGGGCCCCTGCGCGTGCGTGGCCGGCTGCCCCGGGTGGGGGCGCCGGCCGGGGCCGGAGCTGAGCCGCGCGCCCTCCCCGCCTGCAGAAGTGCATCGCCATGTGCATGGACCGCTACATGGACGCCTGGAACACCGTGTCCCGCGCCTACAACTCGCGGCTGCAGCGGGAACGAGCCAACATGTGACCCCGTCGCGCCCGGCCCCCACCCTCCAGTCCAGTTCCATAAACGCCCTTTGCGAAGCGGGGGTCCGCTCGTGCGTCCTGCCTGCCCGTGCTGCTGAGGAGACCGGCGACCCTTGGGACGCTGCTCCCCTCCCGCCTGCGCGCGAGCGCAGCGTGGATCCGGGGGGCCCTGGGACTTGGCCGGGTGCCGGCGGCCCGGCGGCACGGCCCCCGGCGTGCACAGGCTCACCTCGAGCCTCGGGCGGAGAACCCGCAGCCGGACCTGACCCGGCCGCAGCTCGGGCCCCACCTGAGCGGTGGGCGCCTGACGTGGGCGGGCAAATAAACGAGGGAGGGCGGAAAAGAACCCGTCGCTCTTCCCTTCAGGGGGTCTCTGTGGGAGGTGGTAGCGCGTGTCCTGGGTGCCCCGCCCGGACCGAGCCTCTTCCCCCCGACCCGCTTCCCCCCTGCGCGGCTGGGCGTCCGCGATGACCGGGAACAGGTTCCTTGCACGAAGGGGACTTGGGAAGAGGAGGCTGGCCAGCCCCCTCCCCAGCTGCTGCGCCGAAGCCTTGGAGGGTGGTCCTCGCCCCCAGGAGGCCTCGCTTCCTCTCCCCCGCACCCTCCCACCCCCAGGCCGGGCTGAGGGGCGGGCAAGTGGTCCTGCTGTGACACGGAGGTGCTGAGCCGGCTGGCTAGGGACGAGGGGCTGTTTATTGCAACAAAATACGCAGTAAGGTTGCGCCCGGTTACCCGCAGCCCCTCACCTCCCGCCCGCGCCCCAGACTCCCCTCCTCGGGCAGAGGGGCCAGCCGCTTCCTGCTGCGTTCACCTCTCTTGTCCCAGGCGTGGGCAGCCACGGGCCGGTCACTCCTGGATGTTCTGCCCGATCCAGCCTCTCACGGCAGCCACCCGAGTATAGACACCCGGGAAGTGGGGCCGTCCGCAGCCGTAACCCCAGCTGGTGACACCAGTTAGCACCCACCGGCCAGAGGGCTCCCTGCAGGCCAGGGGTCCCCCAGCGTCACCCTGAGGGGAGGAAAGGCAAGGCCTCAGAGCAGGCCAGTACCCCCCCTCCCCCCCCCCGATGCTCTTGAGCCTGGGCCGCTTTCCCCTGAGCCTCTTAGTTCCTGGGAGATGGGATGTGTTAGGACACCCGCTGCTTTGGCCGGCAGACATTCATGGACACGGGCATTGGTCTCGGGCCAGAAGGGGACCTCGCGCTGCCTCGCTGCCCAGCCTCCATCCCTCCTCTGCAGGGCCCAGGGGCAGGATGCCCAATAAACGGTGGTGGAGTGAGAATTCGAGGCCGGGATCGGTGCCCTACTTGGCGGGCTGGAGAAGTGGGCGTCGGAGCGTGGCACCTGCCCGGTAGGCCTCGCAACGGTGAGAACTTGGCCCCGCGACCCCCGCCCCCGCGGGTCTGACTCTGGCGGGCGGAGCGCCCGCTCCCGCCGCAGAGTGCGCTCACCGAGCAGCTGTCCACGCCGCCCTGCGGGAAGCCGGCGCACAACATGCGGCTGCTGATCTGCACTGGGTAGAAGCGGCGGCACGTCTGCTCGCTGAGGAGGCGCACGGCCGCCTTCTGCAGCTGCCGCGCCATCGAGCCTACGGGCGAGACGGAGCCGGATGGGCCGGGGGCGCGCTCGACGCCGCCGGGGGCGCGGGCGGGGGCCGGCGGGGGGGGGGGGCGCGCCTACCTCCCTCGCGCACCGAGCCCCAGCCGGTGATGACGCAGCGCGCGCCGTCGGGGGGCCGCGGCGTGGGCTCGGGCAGGCAGATGGGCCGCACCAGGCGGCTGCGGCGCACGGGGCCCGCCAGCTCGAGCAGCGCCACGTCGTAGTCGAGCGTGTAGAGGTTGTAGAAGGGGTGCTTGTAGATGCGCGCCACGCGCCGCAGCTGCCCCCCGGCGACGCTCAGGAACGGCGTGCCCAGGAGGGCCGCCCACTGCTTGGGGTCCCCGTAGCTGCGGGCCGCGCGGGGACAGGTGTCGGCCGAGTGCCCCCGCCCCCGCCCGCCCGGTTGCTCCTCCGGAGCCGTCCCTTCCCCCTAGGACGGCGGGGAGGGGGCGGGGTGCCGCCCGCTCCCACGCGCTGTGTCTGGTGGCCGTAAGGTCGCGGCCCTACCTGCCCGCCCCCTCTGGCCCTGACCCCTAGCCTGGTCCACCCTACGGAGCGCCCTGCCAGGAAGGGGACTGCCACGTTGGGCCTGGTGCCAAGTCCCAGTGGGCTGAGCCAGGGAGGGAAGGGCCCCAAAGCTCCCCGGAGACCCCCGCCGCGGGCCGGGCCCGGTGTTGGGAGCGGCTGTGGCCAGGGTTTGGTGGCGGTCAGCTCGCGGTGGTGGGTGAGCAGGGGAGGCGATGGCCTGGGGCAGGGGGTGCCGGTGGCTGGGGAGGGGTCCTTCCTGGCCAAGGCACGGAGGGGCGACCCTGAGTGTTCGCCTGCGAAGTCGGCCCAGTGAACTCCACGGGGCGGCCGGACTCACACATCGAAGCAGTGCGCCGCCGACAGCAGCCACCTCTCGGCCACCAGGACGGCCCCGCAGCGGTGCTCCCGGCGCCGCAGCCACAGGCTCACCTGCCACGGCCACTCCCCGCGGCCCGCGGCGCTGCCGCCCACGATCCTGGTCATCGCTGCCACGGGTGCCAGGCCGCAGCCTGCGGGGGAGTGGGGGGCTGCTCAGCGGCTCAGTGGACAGACCCCGCCTCGCAGCCCCGCCTGCGCACCTAGGGTAGGAGGGGCGGCAGTGGGTTGGGGGACCTGGCTCGGTAAAGTCCTGGAAGAGACACTGGACCTGGCGCTTGGTTCTGCAAATGAGCCCTCTCTGGGCGCTTCTAGATAACATTTGGAACCCCTTCCTGGCTGAAGGTCAGGCCAGCACCTCCTCTCACCTCCCTGTCCAGCCCCAGGCATCTCTCAGGGTGCTAGGAGCCGAGTTCCCTGCTGCCCCAGGGCCTTTGCACACCCTAGGCTGCTGCACAGTAGGCCCCTGCCCTGTCCCTGCAGCTCCAGCACTGCCTGGTCTTCTGGACGCACTCCCCTGTTCTCCTTCCCAGGATGCTTCCTCCAACTGTGACATCACCCCCCCCCCCCCCGCCCTCCCCACAACAAGATGTGCTCTCAGAACACAACTACAGGAAGGACAAACTGTGGTTTCCACGGGTGCAGCAGGAACCCGTCCCCACCTATGGGGGCGCACGGGGACCCGCCTGGTCATTCCCAAAGGGAACCTTCCTCCTCCAGAACGGCCCCCTTCCCCAGCCTGCTTTCCCACCCCTGGGCGCCTTCCCTGCCCTCCAGCCTCCTGCCCCAGCCTCAGCTGGAAGGGAAGAAGGGGGAGACGAGAGGCCACCCTCCCCGTTCCCTCTTAGTCCCGAGGACCCGGACCAGGAGGCCTGGGGAATCGGATGGAAACTGCTCTCTGGAAATGTTGTCCCACATGGAACAGCGCAGCAAAGCGTGCCATGTCAGGGGACTTCCTCACCTCTTCTGCGCCCCAAGCTAAGGACCTGCAGGCTGTAGCTGTCAGACTAGGAAGTCACCAGGGTGGGAGGCCAGATGCAGAGAAGCCAGCTGCAGACTTAGGGAGACACGCTCCCCCTCTCCACGCATCGCTGCTGGAAACTCACTACAGCCAGACCCGCAGCAGCTACTGCGAAGGGGAGCTGCCCCTTTGGCCAGGGACGGCAGTCTCCCGGAGATTAGTTTTCCAGGGCTCTGGACCGGACGCTCTGCGCCTGTCTCCACTTTGTGGTTCCCCAGGAAACAGGACCCGGGTCCCCCTCAGAGTCGAGACCTGTGTCCAGACCCTCGGCCTGTGGTCGGCTTTGCCCCTAGCCAATCGAGACGCTTCCTTCCAAGGTCCCCTACACCCCACCATGCGCCCAGACCCCACAGCGACCCGCCTCTTCCTCTGTTTGGTTCTGATGGCACGCAGGCAGCCTCGAGGCAAGAGCCTATAAGCCTGACTTTGTGGGGACAGGTCTGTGCCCAGGCAACTCAGGATCCTGGGGCCAGGACTCCGTACACACATGTGCAAGGGAAGAGGAAAAGAATAGCCCCGGGGACACATCCTAAAGGTTGGGATAGGCCAGAGAATTACAAGCACTTTCCCCCGACTTCTGTGTCACAGGGTTAGACCACACACATACCCTGAACACAAGGACAACAGGGACACTGATGGAGGAGGAAAGCAGGGAAAGGTCCCTGGATCAGAGTCTCTGGAGGGGAGTCGGTGAGGATGCTGGGGATGGGGACTCGGAACATCGGAATTCTGGGAAACTCATCAGTAAGAAGGAAAGTGGGTGCAGCTACACAGACCAGCAGCCCCTTGTGCTGAGTGCCTGCCTCCTTTGGGGGAAGCTCCCAGAAGCTTGCTTGGTCCCTGATGACCTGCCTCCGCACCTGAAGGAAGCCAGACCAGACACCGTCCCTCAGCATCTGGATGTGAGAGCGCAGAGCTCATGTCTGCTTGGGGGGGGGGGGGGTGCTGTGTGCACAGAGAGGCAGAGCCAAGAGGCTTCTGCTGGTGCCTTCCCCCTGCACCCCCAGCCCCTGGTCCCCACCCCACCCCACCTCACCTTGGTCTTCTCAGAGAGCCCTGTGTCTGTGGCAAAAACACTTCCTTCCCTCTGAGTTCTGCTCGGGTGACCATCCCACCCCTCAAAACCAAGGCCGGTGGGAGGAGTGGGCTGGTCGCTAAGACAGGGGTCCACCCACGCAGCCCACGTCCCGCAGAAGCCAGGCCTGGTTCTCCCCTCAGTTTCCCTGCAGCCAGCGCCCACTGACAGGTCCCGGCTTGACCTATATGAAACCAGGTGTATTTGATGGGGCTTTATTTCGGACCTGCAAATACATGTTTCATACACTTCTGATTAATACTTAATAAAACGTAACCGAGCGCTTTAGAAGCGCTCAGAGACCTCCCAGGTGCCGTGCCCGTCAGTGTCCTGCAGCCTGTTCCAGGGCGTCCCCCGGGGCCCCGCGCGGGAGCCTGTGGGGTCGGCTTGGTCTCCTCACTCCTGCTTGCCATCTTACTGAGCGTCTGGTTCCCCGTCTGGTTCCCCACTGCACCCCAGGCTTCGCATGGGCCCGCACACAGGAGGGTGAACACTGGTTGCATGGACAGAGCAGTGGGGACCCTCCCGTCAGGGCTGCCTGACCGGAGCCTGTGTCCCCGGCTTTCAGGACCTATCATGGGCTGACTCGTGTCCTCTCCAGGAGCTCAGGATGGGACACTTGGACACAGGTCTTTGAAGAGGTGATGAAGTTAGAACACGAGGACACACACACAGAGGGACGAGCCCGTGAGGACACGGGGAGAGGACAGCGTGTGTGCAGACTTCCGACCCCCAGCACCGGGAGAGAATAAATGTCTGCTGTTGTCACGGCGGACGCAGGACCCCCGCCACCCACACGTCCCTCCATCCCTCCTGCTACCTGGTGGCTGGAAGCCCACGGTGGTGCCAGGGGAGCTTGGAGGTGGCGTTTGTCCCCCCGCAGCTGTGCTCACGGTGGTGGCAGTCCTGCTGGCAGGTTGGCTGGTCGCCCTGTGGGTGGCTGGGAGGGTGGCTCTGCTGGCCAGGACCCCCGGGACCGTGGGGCCAGCTGCCGTCCTGGAGGAAGGCCTGGTGGCAGGCGGGGGGTCCCGTGGTGGGCGGGGGAGGGCTGGGCAGGGGGCCCGAGGACATGGTGTCCAGGATCCAGCCCTTCAGCCTGGTGACGCGAGTGTACACGCCGGGCCTCTGGGCCTGAGCACAGCCGACCCCCCAGCTCACGATCCCCGCCAGGTAAAACACCCCGGGGGCCTCCTCGCAGGCCAGGGGTCCGCCAGAGTCACCCTGCAAGTGAAGGGAGGGGGATGTGAGTCAGACCACCGCCATGCTACCCCTGGCGCGGACACAGTGACGGACGTCGGTTCTCTCTCAGTACAACGGGGAAACCCACGGGAGCGCTCGCTGTGCCCTCTGCACACGGGGCCGCGTCAGCGCAGCGGGGGCCTCAGGGGACCTGGCTTCAGGCCCACGCCCGGCTCTGTGACCTTGTGTGACCCTGATTGAGTCACTTCTCTCTGAGCTTCAGTTGTTCTTGCTTTTGTTTTGAAGATGTAAAAAAAAATGCAGAAAACTCTAAATAAAACAATAACCATCACAGATGCTCTCACGGCTCATTAGCCGCCAGCCCTCTTCCTTAGGTTTCAAAGGAATCACACCAGCGACCCAGGGCTTTTCTTTAAGAATCTGGAATCTTACAACAAAGCTGAGGCTACATAGCAGATTGTTTTTCCCAAGGATGGCAGAAGTCTCTCTCTCTCGGCCCACCTGCTCTTGGAACACCGAGACCTTGGCCCTCCTCCCATGGGGCGCTGGGGGGGGGTCAGACTGCGGGGACAACGATGCCAGGTGACTTCCAAAGCAAGGTCATGCAGGTGCCATTTGCTTCCAGCTTGCTCCGCGTTTTGAGGGGGCCGAAATGAGCTCGGGCGGAGCCCCCGTGAGGAGGCCCCGTGGAGGGTGCGGCTGAGACCCCAGCCCACAGCCAGTGCCAGCCACGAGAGGAGAAACGCCTTCAGATGCTTCTGGCACACCAGCCTCTGAACCGTCCCAGCTGAGGCCACCGTGCATGGAACACACGCCGGCCCCGCTGGGCCCACGGCAGCTTCCAACCCACGGGACCCGGGACGGTAGTGAAACGGCTGTCTCAGGCCACCAAGCTTCGGGGCGTTCTGTTACGCGGCCACAGGGACTGACAGCCCTGCCGCTGGTCCCGGTGCCCCACCGCCCCAGGGACGGACAATTTAGGAGTTTGGGGTGTGTCCCGCTATGCTTTTATGTGAATCTGTAATTTTAGAAAGTATGCAGTGTTATCTGTAAAATTTACAGATATGGGTTACATGTAACCTTTTGCAACTTGCTGTGGTCAACAGTTTCGAGATACCACATTAACTATTACAAATTTATCAGTTATCTACAGAATAACAGATAAAATCTATATTATGTAACTTATTTGATATAAAAGTAAACAGAGGGGCGCCTGGGTGGCTCAGCTGGTTAAGCGACTGCCTTCGGCTCGTGTCATGATCCTGGAGTCCCGGGATCAAGTCCCACATCGGGCTCCCTGCTCGGCGGGGAGTCTGCTTCTCCCTCTGACCCTCCCCCCTCTCATGTGCTCTCTCTCTCATTCTCTCTCTCTCAAATAAATAAATAAAATCTTAAAAAAAAAAAAAAGTAAACAGAGAAGATCCTCTGCAGGGCACCGTTCTTGCCGCCACCGTCCTAGGAGATGGGTAGGACTATGAGCCCGTTTTACAGACGGGCCTCAGAGGCCCAGGGACGGGGAGTCGCCTGCCTGGGGTCGCAGAGCGGGAGGGCAGCCATTTGCCCCGTTTCTTTCTGCTGCTGCCCGTGGATGCGCATTCATGCTGTCATGGGTGTTCTGGTATTAGCAGTGCCTCTGGGGGTTACGACCGAAGTCGGCCGCCACAGGGGCCCCGGCGCTTCCTGGGGCCGACTCACTGTGGGCACGGCGGGCATCGTGTGTCTTCCTCGCGGCGCCCGGCAGGCGCTCCCTCCCCACGGTCTTGCCTCCCCCTTCACCACCCGAGCGAGCGCCCTCCGTCTGGAAGCTGAGGTCCCCGACTCCGCTGCAGGGCTCTTGTCTTGTCCTTAGGCATCCATGCGTGTTTTTGTTCTGCTGTCTGGAAGACTTCATCGTCAGCTCCCGAGCGCTCCCTCTCCCCGCCCCTGGAAAATCCCCTCCGGCGTCCCACTCCTCTTGTGGACGCAGCACTCCGGGCGTCTCTGAGGTTGGTAACGGCAGACGTGGAGGAAGTTTCCTTTGGTTCCGTGTGTTGCTTCTGTTTCCTGGTCTCCTTTTTTGTTGGCTGTCTGGGTTCTGTTCCTACTGCTGGTTTTATCGATTTGCAGGACAGAATGCATTTTCCCAAGGCCACGGCACGCCCACCTGCCGGCTCACGGGACTCTGGTGGTCCTCCCCGTGGATGCGAGCAGGCTGGCGGCCTCGCAGGCGTCGCTGGATGTGACTTCCAAGGCGAGGTCACAGGACCCAGCTTCTGCCCGTTCTCTTGGGACGCTCGCACTTGGAAGCCAGTGCCAGGTCGTGAGGAAGCCCCGGGGTCCACAGCCTCCAGCGAAGTCCCGCCGTGTGAGTGCGCCGCCTGGAAGGTGGATCCTCCAGGCCCCACTTGTGTCCCCCGAGCTACTGCTGGGACAGCAGATAACCCCTGGGCCCTTACAAGTGCAGACTCACGAGCCCGATACACCACTGTTGTTTCAGGTCACTAAGCTTTGGGCTGATTGTTTACGCAAAAATAGGAGTTACTGACACTTTCTATTTTATTTTGGGTTCTTTCATTTTGTTCCTGGGAGTATACACAATCCCCCGATTCTTCTTTATCAGAATTATCCTGCCTTGTCATGTGCCATTACTTTGCTCTTTTGCATGAATTTTAAAACCAGCTTGCCAAGTCCTATGGCAAACGCCACTGGAATTTTGCCTGGAATTGCACTGACTTACAGAAAAAAAATGGGGAGAAACGGATCTTCATAACATCGAGTCTTCCCACCAAACAATACAGTGTATTTTTCCGTTTATTCAGACCTTTTTATTTTCTTCAGAGTTTAGTGATTTTCTCCATGAAAACCTTGATCATCTTTTAGAGTTTACTTCTGGACACCAGTCAGTGGGATCCCTCTCTCAAGGATGTTGACTTCGGCTGGAAAAAGAAACATTCTTGACCTTGTATGACGCTCTCGTGTGAAGCTAAGCTGTCGCACTCTCAGGAGTCGTCTTCGTCTCTCCCTTGGTTCCGTGTGTTTCTTTCTTTTTTTTTTTTTAAGATGGGTGTTTTGTTTTTTTTTAAGATTTTATTTATTTGCGAGAGAGAGAATGAGAGACAGAGAGCATGAGAGGGAGGAGGGTCAGAGGGAGAAGCAGACTCCCCGCCGAGCAGGGAGCCCGATGCGGGGCTCGATCCCGGGACTCCAGGATCATGACCTGAGCCGAAGGCAGTCGCTTAACCGACTGAGCCACCCAGGCGCCCGGTTCCGTGTGTTTCTAGTTTGTTTATTTTCTTCTTCTCTGGTAGCCAGTTATGTTACTGCAGATTACGTTTTTATCTACTTTACAAATCCCATACCTCCTTTCTTTTTTCTTGACTTTCTGTATTAATCTAGACACACTTGGCAACAGCAGGAAGCCTTGTGTTTGACGGAAAGCTTCTGTTTCGCCACCAAGCATGATGTCTGCTGCAGGTTTCTGTTGTCCAGCTCTCATAGGGCTACAATTTTTTAAAATGTAATTACAAATGGTTGTTAAAAATTAACAAATGCCAAGACACCGGTTGAACCTCCGACTCTTGGTTTTAGCTCAGGTCAGGATCTCAGCACAGAGTCTGCTTGAGGTTCTCCCTCTGCATCCCAGCTCTCTCTCTCTCAAATAAATAAACCTTTAAAAAAATTATCAAATGCCTTTTTCTGTGGTTTTGGAGATGATGCCTTCTCCCCTTCGATCCACTGATGTGATGACTGGTGGTACTGGGTTCTCCTGTTTCGGACCAGCCTTCTTAGGAAACCAACCCACTGTGGTTGATTTTTTTTTTACTTTTAACACATTCCTAGAGTTAATCCGCCAACATTTATTGAGGGTTTTGCACTGATGTTTCTAAGACTGGTCTATAGCTCTCTCCGCCCATGGATTTCTCCGGCTCTCACAGCTCTGGAGCCAGGTGTCCCCTAAGATGGGCCCACGGCTCAGGTGCTTGCCGGCTGCCCTGCGGGACGAGGGCCGTCACACGCACCACAGCCTGTGATCAGCTCTTCCTCCAGTGAACACAGATGCACGTCTTCCTAAATCGGTGTGACTATGCTTTGTGTGCGTCCACCACACACTTCTGAGCTGCCCCCTCATCTTCTGCTTGGAAAGAACATTTCTCTAAACCAACGTTTAAAGACGCCTGGGTTCTCTCCAGGCTTCCCGGTTCGCTGTGTCGTACTGACGATTCTTCCCCTTCTGTCTCTGCGCACCCGCTGAGCACTTCGGAAACCCAGATCCGAACAAGGAGGAGCGGACCGGCCGTGTGGGAGGGTGTGGGCACCTGGTCTGACACTCACCTGGCAGGAGTCGACCTTGCCCTCCAGGAAGCCGGCGCACAGCATCCGGTCCGTGAGGGAGAAGTTGTAGAGGGCGCTGCAGGCCTTCTGGTCTATGATGCCCACGGACGCTCTCTGTAGAATGTCGGGCTTGGTGGCTGCGAGGAGACCCCCCACGACATGGGTTCAGCTGCGCAGGAACCTGAGACGGAGGCGCCACCCCCACCCACAGACGAAGAACCTGAGTCCCACAGGGTTGCAGGGATTTGCGTCGAGTCACATAGTGAGAAGGTGACCCCAGGTGCCTACTCGGCCTGAGACTCTCACCACCGTCCGCCCGCAGACTCCCTAGAGCCGTGGGGGGCCTGCAGGAGGCCACTCGGAGGCTCAAAGGCTAGCATGAACTCTGGGGGCTCAGACGGGCACAAGTGTCTCCAAACTTTCTCTACAAAGAGCCACAGAGCACATGCCCTTGCAGCATGAAAGCCCCGGGGACGGGCTGTAAACTGAACGGGCGGGGCCGTGGGCCAATGAAACTCGAAAATGCAGCCACGCTGGGCCCGTGGGCGGGAGTCTGCGAGCCCGGAGGAGCGGAGAGGTGAGTGGTTTGCAGGTGGTGGACCAGAGGCCCCGGCCGGGAGCTCACCGTTGCCCTCCTGCGTGTTACCCCATCCGGAGATCATGCACTTGCGGCCCACGGGGAACTTCTGGATGGCCAGGGGCAGGCACACGGGCTGGATGAACATGTTGAAACCCAGGGGCCTGGCCAGCTCCAGGACGGCCACGTCGAAGTCCAGGACACCGGGGTCATACTGGGGGTGCAGCACCAGCCTCCTGAGCTCCATCTTCACCGGGCTTCCACCAACGCCCGCGAGGGACACGGAGCCCAGGTGGGCCCGCACCAGCTCCACCTTCGTGCTGCCGACAAGGGGCCACTCAGACGCCCGCCGGCACCCCTGCGGCCCCCGGGAAGCCGGGCGGAGCTCCCCCCGCTCTGGGGACGGGTGCCAGGAGGACAGAGGGGCCACAGGGCTGCTCCCCAGTAGCGGTCCAGGCTGGGGGCAGGCGCAAGGCAGGGAGCCCTTTGGGCTTCCTTCCCTTCGTCTGTAACAAGAGTGAGCAGCCCTGGTGCTTCGGGGCATCGAACACGGACGCTGCCGCTCTTGGGAGCCCAGGGGAAGGGGCCCTCGTCCCCTCCTCTAGTTAGGCCTCCTCTGTCCCCAGAGGCCGGTTCCGCAGACTCCTCCTCCCAAGGCTGCGGCCCAGGCCGGGGCCCCCAGAACCCCTACTTCTCCTGCCTGCTCCCTCCCTGGTTTGCGGCTGGACATTCGGACCCCCTTCCTCAAGCCCGGGGCCCACCCCTGCGCACAGTGGCGGGATTGCTGGGGGCACCTGGGGATGGGGGGCGGGCCTTACTGGTTGAAGCAGTGGGCAGCCGACAGCAGCCAGCGGTCGCCCACCAGGGTCGCACCACAGAAGTGCCGGGAACCTTCCTTCAGGCTGACCTGCCAGGGCACCTCCCCAGAGGCGGCTCCCAGCCCGCCCACGATCCGCGTGGGCTTCTCCATGGCGGGCCTGGCCCCACACTCTGTGAGGAGCGAGAGAGGAGGGTCCTGGCATTGCAGCCTGCCCGCGGCGGGAGCACCGTGATCCCCGTCGTTCGGATGAAGAAACTGAGGCCGGACGTGGTGCGGCGGGGCAGGCGGGTTCAAAAGGAGATGGAGTCCTAGAGCGCCCTGGCTCCACAGACCCGCGGCCCGTGCGGTCAGGCGGAGGGGCTCGCTGCGAGGAGGGGGCGCACACAGGAGGACCTGTGGGAACCAGGGCACTACGGGACTTGGGGACAGGGAGGGGGTAGCTGACATTTAAATGGAGCAGGGTTCCAACAGGCTCAGCATCGCGGGTCTAGGGGACCATGAAGGAGGACTGGCATCCGATCTGGGTCCTTGGAGACCACAGAAGGCAGACAGACAGACATAGACCGCTGTGTCCAGAAACCCCATCTCTGCGGCTCGGCCCCAGGTTGTAATTAAGGCAGCTCCCCGGGGCCGAAGACACGGAGGTGCCCCGGGCAAGAGGGTGTGTGTGACTGGCCACTGAACGTTCCTGGGAGATTTCATGGAAGAGCTTGCAGTGGGGCAGAAAGCAGGAGGGGTCACCGCGATGCCCCGCGGAGCGTCCTCAGGGGAGGGGGCGACCGGCAAACCTGACCACTGGCTTCGCCCAGGTCTGCTCTCTTTATGGAACAACTCGCGGGAGGCAACTCTGTAAGCCGTCCGGCTGCAAACTAGTTGAGAATACAACAGAAATCTCCCGTCTACCCTGACACGGCCACAGTTAACAAGGACCGGGCCAGCTCATGCGAGCAAACAGCCCATAAAGAGATGCACAAGACGGACAGACGCACCCCGTCCCTGCACGGGAAGATCCACGTTGTGGAGATGGGAAGACACAGATTCTCCCTAAGCCGAGCTGTAACTCTAATTGTGTAAAACCGGGAACATGGAGGAGAAAGAAGCCAATCACAAAAGGACCGACGTGACTCGGCTCCTGGGAGGGAGCGGACAGCCAGTCACAGACATGGAGGCGGCCGAGGGCTGGCGGGAGGCGGGGTGAACTGTGTGTAGTGGGCACAGAGCCTCAGGTTTGCAAGATGGAAAGTTCTGGAGACTCGTTGCACAAGGTGAACATAATGCTACTGACCTGGACACGCAAGAAAGTTTAGGATGGCCCATTTTATGTGTTTGACACGGCAATTAAAAATAAAATTAAAATTAAAAAACCAGATAAGCTGATCTTGCTCTTTTCATGGAAGAGGAAGCATGCGAGTGTGTGCAGGAAAATTTGAAAAACAAAAAAGGAAGAAACGCAGGTTCTCGGATATAAGTCATCTGTGTGTGTACATTTATGTGTGGGGTGTGTCTGGAAGGATCCCTGAGTGGAATAGCTCAAAGTCACCAGCCCCCGGCTCACCCGTGAGGACATTCCATGTAGAGCCCATGCGCGGCCCGACCTGGCCGCACAGTCTGACGGATGCCGGTCCGCCTTCGCCTGTGCTCACGGCAGACATTACTAGCCCATCGCCCATCTGTTCCCCAGTACCCATCAATCCAACCCTGCAGGGAGTGGACATCTACGCCCGCCTGTGCCCCCAGCAAATACCTTGTGGCTTAGAGGCTGTCCCTGAGTCAGGAGGCGCCGTGCTGGGGCCCCGCGTGGGTCTGGCGGGGGTGTGGACCACCGGGCTCTCGGGACTGGTGGGCCGGGCAGTGCTGTGGCTGGCGGAGGTGGGAGCCACGGTGGGGGCCAGAGGCTTGCTCACCATGGTGATGGCCTCCAGGATCCAGTCCCGCAGCCTGGTCACGCGGGCATAGACCCCGGGACGCCGGGCTTCCGCACAGCCAATACCCCAGCTCACGATGCCGGCCAGGAAGAACCTGCCGGAGGGCTCCTCGCAGACCAGGGGGCCTCCTGAGTCACCCTAGGAGACAAAGGCCTGCCTTCAGAGCGTCGGGGCTCCGGCCGCAGCCAGCCCCAATCCCAGAGCTGCAGAGTCAGAGAAGGAGCCCCACCGGGGACTTCTGAGACCTGTCCGCCCACGAGCTCACAGAGCAGAGGCGGGCCAACAGTCCACATCTCAGAACCCGCTTTCTCTTCTGTAAAAAGTCAATGGGAGGGGCGCCTGGGTGGCTCAGATGGTTAAGCGTCTGCCTTCGGCTCAGGTCATGATCCCAGGGTCCTGGGATCGAGTCCCGCATCGGGCTCCCTGCTAGGCGGGGAGCCTGCTTCTCTCCCTCTGCCTCTGCCTCTCTCTCCGACTTTCATGAATAAATAAATTTTAAAAATTAAAAAAAAAAAAGTCAACAGGATGTCTAAGATCGCTTCCAGTTCCACCGCGGGCAGTTGAAGACCCACCCAAATAAACACCCCCTCCTCCCCTTAGCCCACGAGATCTGTGGGGATGTCCGTGCTCGCCGAGGCGGACAGAACGGCCCCAGCATTTCCCAGAGTGCCTGCTCTGCCTTGCACTCCTGTCTTGCAGTCCTTCCCCTTCTCTGCACACCCGGCTCACCGGGATGCTCACATTCTCAGACACACGCCCCCCTCCATCTTTCCCAACGCCTTCTCCAGGCTCCAGTCTGGATACGGCTCCCAGAGCACCTGCAGCGCTCTCTCCCTACCTTCTCCCCATCCAGCTTTAGAGGTGAGGAATGAACTTTAGAGGGATGAACTAAGAGGAAGGAAATCCGCAGCCGCGCTGAGCGTCGAGCAGGGGACGTCTCGGTGGTGGGCCGGAAGCTGTGAGGACCCCGTCCCCCTGGGCCTGGGGCAGGTGGGGCAGGTGTGGGCCGCGGGGCTCACCTGGCAGGAGTCCACCTTCCCATCCAGGTAGCCGGCACACACCATCCTGTCGGTGAGCGAGTGGCCATACAGACTTGCACACAGGCCCTGGTCCAGCAGCTCCACGGTGGCTTTCTGCAGCGTCTCTGGCTTCACCACTGCCCAGGACAGGGAGAGACTGGCAGGATGAGCCCGGAGGCTGCGGGTCGTGTCCGCTGTGACCCCGCATCCCCCGCCGGGAGGGGCTTGCTCAGCACCCAGCTCAGAACCTGGCAGAGGCCACACTCTACAAGGGCCCACCCGTAACCTTCTGGCCCAGACAGCAGAGGCACCCGAGTTAACACCCTCATCTCCCCCTGAAAACCCCTCTGCCTGAGTCTCCCTCACTAGCCCTCTGCTGGTCTGCTCGTTCTCCTCTGCAGAAAGCACTCCTTAGCCCGACACCGGCTGATTTACGGTTCATCTCTGCTGAATGTGAAATCTGATTATGTGGCCCCTCTCCTCAAACCTTCTGGGGTGATCTCGCCCCAACCTCCTGCTCAAATGAAAAAGTCCAAGTCTGACTGCTGACCCCAGGGCCTTTGCACATGCCGTTCCAGCTGCCTGGAATTTTGTCTCTACAGAATCTGCCAGCCTTCCTCCCTCATCTCCTTTTTTTTTTTTTTAATTTTTTTTTAAAGATTTTATTTATTTGTGAGAGAGAGAATGAGAGACAGAGAGCATAAGAGGGAGGAGGGTCAGAGGGAGAAGCAGACTCCCCGCCGAGCAGGAAGCCTGATGCGGGACTCGATCCCGGGACTCCAGGATCATGACCTGAGCCAAAGGCAGTCGCTTAACCAACTGAGCCACCCAGGTGCCCCCTCATCTCCTTTCTTAAGAAGCCCCTCCTGACCACCTATTTAAAGCTGCAGCCCCCACCCCATGCCTACCTTACTTTCCTCCACTGTGTCCATCCCCATCTGCCATCTTTACAACCTACTTCCCTCTAGAGCTGTGCTGTCCAGAACGGTAGCCACTGGCCACATGTGGCTACTTAAATGCAGATCTAAATGCGTTCAAATGAAATAAAACGCACAACTCAGTTTCTCAGCCGCACGGGCCACGCTGCAGGGGGCTGGTGTCTCCTGCAGCAGGGGACACAGCCCTAGTAAAGCACGGCCGTCCCAAGGAAAGTGCTCTTGGATGGTGCTGGTCTGGGCTGAGCCCCACGCAGGGAGACTGTTCTGCTTCCTGCCCAGTCCCCTGGACCAGCGCTCGGTGAGCTGGGGAGGCTCAAATGTGTCTGGATCGTCTTCCCTCCTAATTAGGTCCATGTGGCCAATACCTTTCCTTTTCAGAAGATGTAAAAATCACCCAGCATTCTTTCTTTCGTGTCAGGTAAAAAGAGACCCGGGAAAACCCCAGAACACAGGCAGTGGGCCCTGCGAGGGAGGTCAGCCACGGTGGATCCCCAGACCCTTCATGCTGGGTAGAGCTGCCCCCGAACCTGGGGGCCCTAGGTCATCCCCCACTCCCTGCACTATCCATGAAAACCCACACAGCCACTGAGCTGAGCTGGGGCTAGTGGCTGTGTTGGACAGTTTGCTCTAGAACGTTCTAGATGGCGTCATCCAATAGAACTTTCCGCGACACTGGGAATTCTCGCTGCAGGACGCCCTCCTGTTCCCTGAGGCTCTGCCTCCTCCAGCAGGCCAGACCCGCGGCGTCTCTGTCCTGGGGCCTTCCCTACAGCTGTCCCCCAGCCCATTTCGGTTTCCCCATGACATCCCATCACATGAAAGGCGGCTCTCATCCGAGGCAGTTCCGTTTTGTGAAGTCACCGCGAACCCCAAATTAGCGAGTAGGAAGCATGGCCTCTGGAGGATCACGGGACAGGAGGACACGAGCCTCTGGTCCCAACATTTTCGAGAACCGACCGCTACATAACCTCCTGTTACACGTGCTTCTGTCTAAACGCGCCATAGTTAACGCACACCCTTGAGTCCTTCACCTGAACGCGAGTCAGGGGCGCTGTCGCTCACCCCTGACGGCAGGTATCTGACGCGCGCTCCTCACCAGGCACGCCCCCGCCTCCCCGGCCGGCACCCCATCTGTACTCTCGGGGCCCTTTTAGAAATCACCCTCAGAATGCACCAAAAGGCAAAAAAGGACACTGGTTTCTGGTCGGAGCTGAAACAGTAGGTGCCAATGACCACGAGATCACCCCGAGGGCCCGTCTGGGGCTGTGAACACCCCCCACTGGGCAGGTGCGCTCAGAGCACAGGATCAGGACAGCGGGGTGGGCTGTTTGGACCCCCCGCGCCGCGGCCCAGCCGCCGAGCGCAGCACTTACGGAAGTCCTCCCTGAGGTAGCCCCAGCCGGAGATCAGGCACCTCCTCCGGGGCGGGAAGACGTGCGTGGCTGCGGGGAGGCACACGGGCTGGACGTGCCTGCCGAAGGGCAGGGGCCTGTCCAGCTGCAGGACCGCCACGTCGAAGTCGGCCGTGTCCGCGTTGTAGAGCGGGTGCGGGAGGATGCGGGCCACGCGCGCCCGCACCGTGCTGGCCTCGGCCCCGCTGAGGTACGTCGTGCCCGCGTAGGCCACCCACTCTCTCGGGTCTTGGAACCTGCAGGACAGACGGACCGCAGCTCAGAGGCCCACCCACGGGACAGGCGGCAGCGGGAGGCGAAGGAGGCACTCTCCCGGGGGGGCGAGCGTTAAGGGGGCGCCCCGAAACCCAATCATCACAACCGGTGTTTCCACGCAACGTTGTCAAAAGTGAACATAAATGCAAAAGAAATCCATCCTGGGCGCCTGGGTGGCTCAGTTGGTTAAGCGACTGCCTTCGGCTCAGGTCATGATCCTGGAGTCCCGGGATCGAGTCCCGCATCGGGCTCCCTGCTCGGCAGGGAGTCTGCTTCTCCCTCTGACCCTCCTCCCTCTCATGCTCTCTGTCTCTCATTCTCTCTCTCACAAATAAATAAAAAAAAATAAAAATAAAAAATAATTAAAAATAAATTTATTAAAAAAAAAAAAGAAATCCATCCTGCCCCAAGGATCAACACTCTTGGCAAAGACAGATCTGGGTACGAAATGTTAAGGGGGCGCCAGAAACCACAGACCAGGCAGCAAAACACCCGAACGAATGCAAAAGGCCCACGGTGAACAAAGCAGGGACTTCTGACGTAAGCACGGGGTCGGGCTGTGCTGGCTCCGCTCACCTCCCTCGCCTTCCCCGAGCCCGCGCCCGTCAGCTCTGGTCTCGACTTCAGAGCTGGATATTCCGTTCATTGTTGATTTTTTTTCTTTGCACTCATTTTGATTTTTTTGCAACACGACATGAAGATATTACTCGTCACGATGTCTGTTCCTGGCGACCCCCTACATTTCGCCCCCCGCCCCCCGGCGAGGGCCTCGCTCTCCTCACCCTAAGCCCAGCCCTGCGAGGCCCCTCATGGGCCCCACAGTCAGTCAAGGAACAGTACACTTCCCGGCAGAAACACGGGACGAGGCTGGGTTCTGTTTCACAAAGCCCTCCCCTCTTCGCCCACCCTCTCTCGGTATCTTTAAGAACTCAGCTCAAGGCCAAAACTCTTACTGCCTTAAAAATGGTTCAAATAGTAAATTTTACGTTATCTGTATTATATCAGAGTAAAAAAGAAGAAAACAAAGGTAGCTGTAACAGGCCCTCGGGACAACTGGGGCAAGCCGGACGCGGACGGGACGCTGGCGGACGGCATGTGGCCGGACCTTCCCTCGGCGGTGCGGGCGTGGGACGGCATTACGGGCGTGCGGGGGACCGTCCCTTATTTGTGCAGACATGAGCAGCAGGGCCAGAGGGGTATCAAACGGTTGGCAAAGAAAGGTGCGCACACGGATGCACGTAAAGGCCCAGATACAGGGCAGGCAGCAGGAACCAGCGCTAACACGGCAAAACGCGATCCCTCGCCGAGATCAGGGAACAGGTACACAGGTTTGGCTCTACTGTTTCTACCGCTTCTGTCTGCTTAAACACTGCCGTGATAACACATGGGAGGAATAAAACTTCAAGTGGAAAACCCCCAACTCCTGCTGTCCTGAGCTGTCCCTGTTTCTGACGTCTGTCCCCCGGACCGTCACCCCGAGGCAGACAGCAGGTTGCACTCGGGCTCACCGGCATCCCACGGGGTGGTCAGTGGGCAGTGGTCTCTCTGAGGAGCCCAGGATGCTGCTGCCCTGCCCGCTCCCCAGGACTCCTCAGACTGCAGCAACCAAACAGCAGTGCCTGGTGCAGGGGCTTCTAGAACCTTCTCCCACCTTTGACCAGCTCCATTCTGGGATCAGCCACTCTGGTTCGTTAAAGACCCTGACCATCCTCAACGACGACAAGCAACAACCCGGTTCAAAAATGGGCGAAGGGGGCGCCTGGGTGGCTCAGTTGGTTGAGCGACTGCCTTCGGCTCAGGTCATGATCCTGGAGTCCCGGGACCGAGTCCCGCATCGGGCTCCCTGCTCAGCGGGGAGTCTGCTTCTCCCTCTGACCCTCCTCCCTCTCATGCTGTCTCTCATTCTCTCTGTCTCAAATAAATAAATAAAATCTTAAAAAAAAAAAAATGGGCGAAGGACGTGAACAGACATTTCTCGGAAGAAGACCTACAAATGGACGCTCCACGTCACTGGCCGTCAGGGAACGCAAACCATGACCGCAGTGTGACCCCACTAAGACAGCTCAACAGTAACAAGCGTTGGTGAGGATGTGGGGAACCTGGAGCCTCCCACACGGCTGGCAGTGGCGGGAAACCGTGCAGCCCCCATGGGAAACTGGAGGGTCCTCAAAGGGTTAAACACGGAATTACCGGACAACCCGGCAATCCCACTTCTGAGTCTATACCCAGAAGAACTGAAAGAAGAGTCCTGAAGAGATGTTTGCACACCCCTGTTCACAGCAGCAGGATTCACGGTGGCCAAGAGGTGGGAACAGCCCGTATCTAGCAACAGATGAGTAGATACACAGAATGTGGTATATCCACGTAATGGAACGTCATTATTCAGCCTGAAGAAGAAAGGAAGGGACCCTGACACCTGACACGACTTGGAGGGACCCTGAGGACACTGGGCTCAGTGAGAGGAGCCAGACCCGGAAGGACACATCCTGCAGGACCCCACTCCCAGGAGGTCCCCAGAGGAGTCCCGTCCACACAGACAGAGAGGAGAGGGTGGGAGCCGGGGCTGGGGCAGGGGGTGGGGAGTCCGTGCTTTGTGGGGACAGAGTCTCCGTGTGGGGAGATGGAACGTTCTGGAGACGGAGGGTGGGGGTGGGGAGTCCGTGCTTCGTGGGGACAGAGTCTCCGTGTGGGGAGATGGAACGTTCTGGAGACGGAGGGTGGGGGTGGGGAGTCCGTGCTTCACGGGGACAGAGTTTCAGTTTAGGGAGATGGAATGTTCTGGAGACGGAGGGTGGGGGTGGTCGCATGATGGTGTGAGTGGGCTTCATGCCGCTGAATTCTAATGGCTAAAGTGGTAAATTCGTGTTATGTAAATTTTACCATGATTTTGAAAATAAAAATAACAAGAACACATTCAGATTCAACAACAAAAGAGAAAGAAGGAAAGGAAAAGAAGAGAGCTCCACAGGGCTCTGTGGACCCAGGAGAGGTGGCGCTCCCAGAGTGGAAGGAAGGTGGGACCGAGGGGTGTGGGGCTCACTCGTTGAAGCAGTGGGCTGCAGACACCAGCCACCGGGCCCCGACGATGGCAGCCCCACAGAAGTGCTCATTGTTCTCTCGAAGGCTGACTTGCCACGGGAACTCCCCGGGGGACGCTTCCATGCCGCCCACGATCCGGCCGGCTGTCTTCCAGCCGGGCTGTAGACCGCAGTCTGCAAGACAGAGGTCACCAACCAGGAGCCCCAGAGGCAGGGCCGTGACCGAGCTCCCAGCACGTCCATGCGGAATCTCTCATCCCCCGGCCCTCTTGTTGAAACACCTGCTCTAAATCCCTTGCACTTGGCTTTGCTGACTCCTTTGGGGTCTCCCTGTCCCCTCCTGCCCCATCTCCAGCTACCCGACAAAGGTCAAACACCCAAAGACTGCCTGCACCAGGAAGTGGCCGAGAACGCCTTCAACCAGGAACCCTTTTTCCGCCTCGAGCACAGGTGGCCTTCATGCAACTTTGACTTCGCCGTATGACATCTGTCATATGGTTCCTGGCCAAAGGCTAGGTCCGGGTAGGAACTCCACACTTCTGACTTAATTTGGGGTTGTGCTAACTCATAAACCAAAGGTCCAACACCTTGCTTTCTTGTGTTTCTACCTGTCTAGCGGGCATTTTCCTCCTTTTCCTCCCCGCCACGGGCCCCTCCTGATGTCTCTACCGCAGCTCATGTTGCCATGCAGTAAACAGTGAACTCAGCAGCCCCAGACTGTCCAAACATTGCACATTTCAAAGGTCGGCCCTTGACCACCTCCGGGGAGGAGCTAAGGCCCTGGAATGTTGCATGATAAGAGCAGCTCTGTCTACCTGGGGCATTAGGTCGCCCAGAAAGTTTATGCTACAGTGTGACTGATGGCCTTGGGCCATGTGGAATCCGCTTGACCTCTGGAGGGGCTGCAAACTAAGTGTTATGGGCTGAGTTGCAACCCCTGAAAAGATGTTGAAATTTTAACCCCCAGTACCTGTGAATGTGATTTATTTGGAAATAGGGTCTTCACAGATGATCCAAGTAAGATGAAGTCATGAGTGAGGGCCCTAAATCCAATTACTGGTGTCCTCCTGAAAAGGGGAAACTTGAACACAGACTTGCACACGAGAAGGCCATGTGAACATGACAGCAGAGATCTGGATGACACTTCTACAAGCCAAGGAATGCCAGGCATCCAAAAAACCCCAGAAGCTGGGAGAGAAACAGGAAACAGATTCTCCACCAGCTCAGGAGGAACCAGACCCTCGGACACCTTGACCTCGGGCCTCCAGCCCCGCGCATTGTGACAGGGGACATTTCCACTGTTTTGGCCACTCCGTTTACGGCACTTCGTTCTGGCAGCTCTGGGACTCTGTGCGGTGTTACATAGCCATGTGACCAACCCCCAGGACAGACCCTGGACACAAGGCTGCCCTAAGTTGGAAACACTTTGTGTGGTCTGTCACATGCTGCTGCTGGGACAGTTAGTTCAGGGCCAGGAGAGGGCAGCGGGAAACTTGCTCACTTCCGGTCTTGCCCACACTGCTCTGTGCGCCTTTTCCTTTGATGGCTTTTTCCCTGGAAGAAGCTGTAACCGTGCAGAGAACACCTGAGTTCTGAGAGTCCTTCCAGTGAATCACTGACCTTGAGGGGGGCCTTGCTCAATCGGCCTCCACAGACCGTCCTTCACATCAGGTGCCACACGCTACAAATGTCTCCTTCACCATGTATTTTGCAAGTTTCAAAATTCTCATACATGCATCTTTTTGTGAAATGCTATGTCTCAATTTAGTCCACTTTTATGTCCTTCAGTGAAGTTTTATAATTCTGTGTAACGTTATAGGCTTGATATGTTTATTTTTTGCTGCTATTGATCACAACTGGGATTTTTTGCCTTTTACCCTCTGATCTGTTTTTCCTTGTATAAAGCACAGCAACAGCTTTTCTTTGTGTTGATGTTCATCTTACTCTCGTCTCAGTGTTGAACGGTCTTATTTTCTAACAGCTGGTTAGTCAATTTATTAATTCATTTATATAGACAATCACATCCACTGCACATTAGGATTGTTTTCCCCCTTCCTTTCCACGCTTAAACTGCTGCCCTTACCCTATTGTGTGGGCTAGCATTGCTAGAAAATGTTGGCTACTCTTACAGCACTTTAATTGTAAGATGCCCTTGCCCAAATCCCACTGCATATAGGACAGAGCTCCAGGTCCTGGCATCTGAGGCTTCCCACAGTCTGGTGAGGACCTGTCTGTTCAGCCATATCATGGGTGCCCAGCCACCCCCCGCCCCCTGCTTTCCTCAGCCCAGCTACAGTGAATACTGGGCCCATATGTAACGTGCACAGTGGGCCAGAGAGCAGAGCCAGCAGCTGACCCTGGAAAGGGACATGGCCCAGAGACCGGCCAGATACGAGACTGACCACAGTGGGCCTCATCAGATCCATCGGAGCAATCCACTCGGTCGTCACACTCCGGGTTCACTTTGGTCACACACTGGCTGTTCTGGCAGGAAAAGGTGTTCCCTGGACAGTGACCTGAGGGCAAAAAAGAACCAAGTTCCTGATCCCCGCTCCATCTCTCCTGCCTGCAGTAAGATGCCACCGTCTACTCAGAGCCTCTAGAGCATGAAAAACATTTCTTTTTTACTTTTTTAGCCCTGAACGTTTCTGAAATAATTTTCTCAGAATTAGTATGGAGACATAATAAGAACGTCGGTCAGCATGAAGACCAGGGCTATGCAACGGAAATGTAGGCACAGCACATGGACTCCCACATCTTCCAGCACCCACGATTTTCTAAAGCAAGATACAGGTGAAACTGAACGTTTCAAGTTGTGGTAAAACACGTACAACTTAAAGTTTACCACACTAACCATTTTAAGTATACAGTTCACATTTGGGGCCGGACTGTTCTCTGTGGGGGTTGAGCAGCCCTCCTGGTCCTACCCACTCGATGCCAGGAGCCCCCACTCCTTACAACCACAGATGTCCCCGGACGCTACCCAGAGTCCCCTGGGGCCTGGATCACCCCTAGTTGAGGACTGTGTGGCACCCACTCTTTTTTTTTTCCAAACTGTCTGTTTTTGTCTTTTAAAGGCAGATTTCCAGGGCGCCTGGGTGGCTCAGTTGGTTGAGCGACTGCCTTCGGCTCAGGTCATGATCCTGGAGTCCCTGGATCGAGTCCCGCATCGGGCTCCCTCCTCGGCGGGGAGTCTGCTCGTCCTCTGACCCTATCCCCTCTCATGTGTTCTCTCTCTCTCATTCTCTCTCTCTCAAATAAATAAATAAAATCTTAAAAAAAAAAATAAAGGCAGATTTCCACCACTTTTCAAAAAAAATTGTTACTGTTTTCCCTCACTCGTGTTTGGTCATGTGTAATTCAAAGTGTCTCGTCTTTTTTTTTTTTTTTTTTAGATTTTTTAATTTTTATTTATTTATTTGACAGAGAGAGACACAGCGAGAGAGGGAACACAAGCAGGGGGAGTGGGGGAGGGAGAAGCAGGCCTCCCGCAGAGCAGGGAGCCAGATGCGGGGCTCAATCCCAGGACCCCGGGATCATGACCTGAGCTGAAGGCAGACGCTTAACGACTGAGCCACCCAGGCACCCCTCAAAGTGTCTCGTCTTTAAGTCCTCTGCCCACACAGGACTATGACTCTATCCCCTCCCGGCCCCCTGGAGGAGACTGCTGTGCAGAAGTAGTATTTACTGCATTCGAGGGACTCCTTTGTGTACTGGAAAGAAGTCTTGGGAAACCTCTCCTCATGACTGCCATCGGAGAAACTCGGCAGAGGGCAGGGAGCTCCATGGGAGAGGGTAGGACATACCTGCTGATTTTAAGTCTCTTTCTGTCAGTGGCCCTTTCTGACTTCCTGCAGTGAAACAGACAAGAGAGAGAAGCTCACTCCGCGAGTTCCGCAGTTCTTTGAAAACACTGGATTGCAAAGCCAAGAGCTGCACTGTGCACCGTGGGAGCCCCTTACATTCTAACTTAAGTCAATTTAAGATGAAATCAGATGAAACAATCTCTTGCTTGGCCACTGGCTGCGTGACGTGCGCTCCAGAGCCACATGGGGCTGGTGGTCACCTCAGTGGGCTGTGCAGGCAGGAAACGGGAGAATTCAATTAGCACTGATATAGAGGTTACTAAGAGTCCACTAACATGTCAGGGTAGGTGGGGAAGGACCATAAATGTCCTGCAGGGCAGGGTCAAGGCCACCAGATTTTAACTTGATGACACACTGAACTCACGTCTGGCTCTCCTCACGATGCACCGCATCATCAGGTTTTATGTGAAGTTTCTGGTACATGATAGGGAATCTGCATCATCAGATTTTAGGGCACAGCATTTACTCTTATTCCTATACCAAGGTTGGCAAACCGGCTGTGGGCCACATGCAGCCCACCATTTGATTCTATAAATAAAGTTTTATCAATACACAACTGTGCCCATTTGTTTATGTTCTGTCTTTAACCCTCCTGTTACAACAGCAGAGTTGAGTAGTCTCGACAGAGATCCAATGGGCTGCAAAGACAAAAGCATTTACACTCTGGCCATCTGCAGGTCGCTCTTACCTGCTCCGTACCCCTGAGGGAAAAGTATTGTGCACGAGTTAACTTTTCATCAGAGGGAACAACTGTGGGAAACCTGAAGTTTACTGCAACTTTCAACGGTCTCGTCTCCCACAGCCGCCTCCTAATTCCTCCAGTGTCTGTTGCCTACTTGCCTGTGAGCTCAGCGGACATGATGGTGCCGTGGGCAGCCAGGGGGATACCATGCCCCTGCAGCCTTGCTCTGAGTCCCTGCTGCAATAGATCCTCCTCCAGGCCCAGGCTCAGTGGCTGCAGGGCTTGCAGCAAGAAGTGGAGCCGGAAATGCACGAAGACACTGGAATTCCCATCCCTGCAGGTAGGAGAGAAGCCCTTGGAGAGGGAGGGCTCCTGCTGGAATCTTCTGGAATCTCTTGGGTGTCCACCAGGCTTGCTTCACCCGGAGGAGGCCCTGACTCACCTGTAACCTAGCACGGTACAGCCCACACAGCTGGCCTCCAACTCTGTCTTCTGGAAGCTGCTCACAAACTGCAACAGAAACAACAGTGGTACACGTGGAGGCCATGGAGTAGGCGCCCGCCCCGCGGGGACCTGCCGCGTGCTCGCAGAGCTGGAGGCACGGAAAATGCCTCTTCTCACACCCAGTACACACAGAGTCACAGAGCTGTGTAAATGACAGGGAAAGGGCACTTGGAAGTTACTTGGATGAAAATACTGCCCTATCAGCAGATGGATGGATAAAATGTGGTCCATCCACATGAACAGGAACAAGGTGCCCACACGCGCGGCCCCGGGGACGGACCCTGAGCCCACGACGCTCAGGGAGGGAACCAGACACGGAAGGCCACACGGGGTGTGAGTCCACATGGCTGACACGTCCAGAACGGGCTCATCCACGGACGGGAAGGGGGCTCGTGGGGGCCGGGGGCTGGGGAGTGATGGCTAATGGAGATCAGGTTGCTTTGGGAGTGATGGAATGTTCTGGAACTAGACAGAGGTGATGGTTGCATAATTTTGTGAATACACAAAATGCCAGAATTGTTCACTTTAAAAATGGTTAATTTGGGGGCTCCTAGCTGGCTCAGTCGGTAGAGCATCTGACTTTTTTTTTTTTAATATTTTATTTATTTATTTGAGAGAGAGAGAATGAGAGAGAGAGAACACATGAGAGGGGATAGGGTCAGAGGACGAAGCAGACTCCCTGCCGAGCAGGGAGCCCGATGCGGGACTCGATCCAGGGACTCCAGGACCATGACCTGAGCCGAAGGCAGTCGCTTAACCAACTGAGCCACCCAGGCGCCCAGAGCATCTGACTTTTTAAAAGATTTATTTGACAGAGAGAGCAAGCGAGCACAAGCAGGAGTGGCAGAGGGAGAAGCAGGCTCCCCGCGGAGCAGGGAGCCCGATGCGGCGCTCGATCCCAGGACCCCGAGATCATGACCTGAGCTGAAGGCAGACACTTAACGACTGAGCCACCCAGGCACCCCGAGCATTTGACTCTTGATTTTGCGGTTGTGAGTTCGAGCCCCACATCGGGCGAAGAGATCACTTAATAAAACTTTTTAAAAAATGGTTATTTTACATGAATTTTACATTAAGAAAATCCTGCTTTGCGCAAACAGATGCTACTAGAACTTGCTTATCCTCCGTGTGGCGTTCAGGTGACTACTGTCCACTTCTCCTAGGACTGTCTCAGGTTTAGCACTGAAGGGTTCCTGTCCTGGGAACTGGGATGGGTGTTGTTCCAGGTGCAGCACCAAGGCTGGGGGTTCCTGAGAGTCCCCTTGGCACCTCATGTGACCTATGCCTAGGGTGACAAGATGTCCCAATTTACCTGCTCTTCCAGTGGAGTTACTAACGGTGTCCCTGCTCATGGTCAGTGTTCTGTCACCAGGCCTGCTTCTTAAGCTCACAATACACAGTTCTCCCTCCTAAAATTCCCTCCAACCTGTTTTTCTTATTTCTACTCTCCAAGTCCGTGTCCCTATTGCCCGCATTCAGACCTGCTGGCCCACAGAACAGTCCACAAATTTCAGCAAGTATCCTCCACCTGCCTGCCCCACGTGCCAGCCACCGGTCACACACGGCTACTGAGCTTCTGAAACACGGCTGCTACTATGAAGGAACTGGTTTCTACATTTTAGTTAGTTCACGCTTAAATTCTAAAACAGATACTCCAGTTGCCAGAAAATTCTTAAGTATATTCGGAGCAACTTGCATATGTAAATGTTATGGAATCTACGTATCAATCAGGTATTCCTGATAAAAACTTAGCATCCATATCGAGATGTGAGTGCAAAATGCACACTGGGTTTTGAAGACTCAATGCAAAAAAGAAAAAAGAATACGAAACGTCTCCTCAATACCTACTTTATGTCGATGACACGAAAGGATAATACTCTGGATGTTCTGGGTTAAATATATTATTAAAATTAAATTTACCTGTTTTCTTTTTTTTAAGAATTTATTTATTTTAATTTTATTCATTTGACAGAGAGAAAGACAGCAAGAGAGGGAACACAAGCAGGGGGAGTGGGAGAGGGAGAAGCAGGCTTCCCGCCGAGCAGGGAGCCCGATGCGGGGCTCGATGCGGGGGCTCCATCCCAGGATCCTGGGATCATGACCCGAGCCCAAGGCAGACGCTTAACAACTGAGCCACCCAGGCACCCCGTTTTTTCCTTAATGTAGCTGCTAGAAAATTTTAAATTATGCATGGGGCTTGTTTTATTCTTTTGGACAATGCTTGAGGATGTGGGACTGAGATTAGGAAGCGAACACCCACGGGCCAAATTCAAGTCATTGCCTGTGTTTGTATAGTTCAGAAACTAAGAATGGCGTTTCCATTTTTAAATGGTTGGAGAAAATAAAAAGAAAAATAGTATTTCATGTCACATGGAGATTATTTGAAATGTGTTATTTCACATTTTTTTAAGATTTTGTTTATTTGAGAGAGAGACACAGCGAGAGAGGGAACACAAGCAGGGGGAGTGGGAGAGGGAGAAGCAGGCTTTCTGCTGAACAGGGAGCCCGATGCAGGGCTCGATCCCAGGGCCCCAGGATCATGACCTGAGCTGAAGGCAGGCGCTTAACGACTGAGCCACCCAGGCGCCCCCACAAATAAAGTTTTATTGGCACAGAGCCACACCCGCTCATTCACCCGTCCCCTGTGGCACCTCTCAAGATGCCTCAGGCCAAGCTGAGTAGTTGGGCCGGTGAGTGTCTGGCCCGAGATGCCAAAGATCTTGCCTGTCTGGCCTTAGAGGACAAGTGTGCTGACCCCGGTGTGGACGGTGATGACTCAGCAATGTCGCCCTGCTTTTCTCATGTCTTACCACACAGCCTCCTGGCCACAGGCAGAGGGCTCCTTTCAAACTGTGACTCCTCACCTAGCGACCCTCCTGCTTCTCTGAGAATGAAATTTAGAATATATTAAGTTGAGATATAATTCACCTAACTTACAACTTACCTTTTAAGAGTGTACAGCCAGATGGGTTTTAGTGCATTCACAGAATTTTGCACCATCACCGCAACCAGTTTTCGAACATTCCATCACCCCAAAAGAAACCCTGTCCCCATCAGCTGTCACTCCCCAGCCCCGGCCCCAGGAGCGCCCTTCCCGTCCGCGGATGAGCCTGTTCCGGACGTGTCACCCACGTGGACTCACACCCCGTGTGGCCTTCTGTGTCTGGTTCCCTCCCTGAGCGTCGTGGGCTCGGGGTCCATCCCGGGGCCGCACGTGTGGACGCCTCGCTCCCGCCCGCGGCCGAGGGACGCTCCCGTGCGTGGGTGGACCTCCTTGCATTTATCCATTCACCCATCAATGGGCATTTGGGTGTTTCCACTTTTTGGCTCTTAGGAGTCCTGTTGCTGTGGACATGGGAGTGAGGGCTTTCCGTGTGGACGTGAACTTTCATTTCTCTTGGGTGGACACCTACACACACAATTGCTGGACCCTATGGAAACCGTTTGACCTGACCGACTGCCTGCCTGCTTCCACAGCGGCTGCCCTCTTTCAGGTTCCCACCAGCCCTGTGTGCGGGTTCTGATCTCACCAATGGACTAAAACTTATAACCTTTTGACGTTCCTACGAGCCCAGCAGGGGTCAGTCCCCACCGATGCCGCCCTGCCCTGCATCCCAGAGCCCACCAGCACCGGCCACGGCAGCCTCGTCCTCTTGGCCCCGCGTGCCCTCTTCCCTGCCTCAGTGCCTGCCTGGGCGTCCCCCCTGCTCTGCTCGCCCGGACACAGCCCCTGGCTGCCCTCACCAGCCTTTCCAGAGTGGGCGTCAGCGTGCGGTAGTACTCTGAGGTCTCTTGCTGCAAGCTGCGGGCATACTGGACCCCTTGCAGCTCAGCCGTGTGCTCCACGTCGACACCCTGTGTAGAGAGGGAGGCTGCGGACAAGACCAGGGCCCCGTGAGAGAGCCCCACCTTCGGGGTCAGGGTGCACTTAAGTCAGCCCCAAAGGCCCCCAGCCACCCAGGGGCCATCGCCCCAACAACCAGCTGGTGGGCCGACTTCCTGGGGGCCCTGAGTGGTCATCAACAGTGCCCCGTCACCTCTCACACACGTTCTGGGCTCGATGACGGACTCTATGATCACCCACCTCAAGGCGCCCAGACGTCCCTGGTGTTTTGAGGACGGGACTGGCTCCTGCTCACCCGTCTCACCAGGTGTGCCTGGCTCAGGGCCTGAAGCTGGCTTCCGCCCAAAGTGGCTGAAATGGCCTCAGAAGACCCTCCCTCCAATTTGGAGCAATTCCCACCTGATGCCACAGGGGCCTGATCCCAGCCACAACCCCGGGCCAGTCTCATGATGCCACCCTGTGAAAGAACACAGGTTTCCAACTGCTGGAAACGCGGCGTCAGAAGCAACAGCAAAGACTCAGACCCATAAACACGGGTGGGGAGGGGCAGAGCGGGTGCAGAGGAGTGGGGGTGCGGCAGGGATCCTGCAGGAGGGCCACGTGGCGTGGGCAGCGGGCGAGCCCAGCACAGCTGCGGACTTGTCCAACCATGTGCCGTGACCCACGCCTGCTCTGCTCCAGTCACAAAAGTACACAATACCCAAGACTAAGAGTCACAAAAAGTCTTAAAATGAAGACTACGATAGCGACCACTGAAAACGTGGGTTCCTGTCGAAAATACGTTAGAACTCACAAAATGACACACTAGCAAAAAAATGACCCTAATTACGATATTAAAAAAAAAAAAATGAGGGCGCCTGTGTGGCTCAGTCGGTTAAGCGACTGCCTTCGGCTCAGGTCATGATCCTGGAGTCCCGGGATCGAGTCCCGCATCGGGCTCCCTGCTCAGCGGGGAGTCTGCTTCTCCCTCTCCCACTCCCCCTGCTTGTGTTCCTGCTCTCACTCTCTCTCTCTCTCTGTCAAATAAATAAATAAAATCTTTAAAAAAAAAAAATGAAAGTAGCGGCCACATAAACCGTAAAAGCTGGGTCCCAATTCTATGTATTGTGAATGAATATTCGTCTAGGTAGATATTTAGATCTTTATTTATTCAATATGGTAGAATACACGTTCGGAGCCAATTCCAAACACAGTTTGACTTCTCATTTGAGAAGCTAACAACAGAAACGAGCATCCTGTTGTGGAGACCAAAGCGTTTATGCTCCGTATCCCAACTAAGCCTTTCTTCCCCCCCCCCCCAAAGTAATCACTACACCCAACATGGGACCTGAATTCACAACCCCAAGATCAAGAATTGCTCGCTCCACGGACTGAGCCCACTGGGCTCCCCCCAACTAAGCCTGTTGTCCCTCTGAAATAATGACAGACCCACAGGAAGCTCAGAAATAGCCGGGAGGTCCTGTGTCCCCGATGCCCAGCTTCCCTCAAGGCTAACATCGCCAACTAAAATTCTGAGCTGGGAGAAGGGGATACATTTTAATTTTAATTGAACAAAAATTTTAAAACTGTGTAAATGTTCCTTAAAGGCTTCCTTAGTTTCAGGGGTCCTGATGGGGATTGTATTTATGTTGTTCTCAGCATGTGTGCGTGCTTCCAGGACGCCCCTGCCTCCCCCTAGTGTGAGGACATTCGCACATGTGCGTGCGCGAACACACGCTCACACAGGCCCACCCACAGCACAAACTTTCCTGCATTTGATGCCCACAGCCATTAGTGGGCCTCTGCCAGTTATGCCAGGCTGCGAGGTACCCCAGATGTTCCATAAATACGTACAGAAAGAGGGCACGTTCTGCATGGAGCACTGGGCGTTACACACAAACAATGAATCACGGATCACCACATCAAAAACCAATGATGTATTCTATGGTGACTAACGTGAAATAAAATAAAAATTTTTAAAAATACGTAACAAGGGGCGCCTGGGTGGCTCAGTCGTTGAGCGCCTGCCTTCGGCTCAGGTCATGATCCCAGCATTCTGGGATCGAGCCCCGCATCGGGCTCCCCGCTAGGCGGGAAGCCTGCCTCTCTCCCCTCCACTCCCCCTGCCTGTGCTCCTCTCTCACTGTGTCTCTCTCTGTCAAATAAATAAATAAAATCTTTAAAAAAGGGCGCCTGGGTGGCTCAGTCGGTTAGGCGACTGCCTTTGGCTCAGGTCATGATCCTGGAGTCCCGGGATCGAGTCCCACATTGGGCTCCCTGCTCGGCGGGGAGGCTGCTTCTCCCTCTGACCCTCCTCCCTCTCATGCTCTGTCTCTCATTCTCTCTGTCTCAAATAAATGAATAAAATCTTTAAAAAAAAAAAAATCTTAAAAAAAAAATTAAAAAATACGTAACAAATAGACATACGTACTCCATATAAAAATCAAAGAAACCCATGCAGAATTGCCAACTTACTGTTTTGCCACAAGAGAACATTTTCTCGCAAACTGCCACTTACTATCATTATTTCATGAATGAAAGGTGACCTTCACATCCCCAAATAAAACTGTAGGAAGCTTATCGGCTCAGAATAGGCCTGTTCCAGAGCACTGCTGCCCAGAACTTCCTGTGATGACAGAATGTTCTAGATGTGCACTGTCCAGTGCGGTGTCCATGAGCTGCCCATGCAGGTGGCTGGTGGGGACGAGGAACTGACTTTTTTTTAAAGTAGGCTCCATGCTGGGCGCGGAGTAACTCAGGACCCTGAGCTCAAGACCTGAGCTGAGACTGAGTCTGATGCTCAACTGACCGAGCCATCCAGGCAGCCCTAGGAATTGACTTGTAAATACCGTTTAATGTTAACTGCTTTAACTCTAACCAGCCCACAGGGCTCAGGGCCGCCATCCCCAGCAGCAATGAGGCAGACAACACTGGAAGAGCTGCTCTACGTGGTGGCTAAGAATGAAAACGGCTCATGGTCTCACAGGGGAACTAGGACTCGCGGTGGAAGGAGAGGGGCAAGTCCCCAGAGGGTATGCAGACCCTGCTGTCACCTCACGCATTCTCACAAGACAGCACAAGACATCATCTCTGGAACCGTGTCCCTGTGTGGAGACCTGCGGGGCTGTAAACCGCAGAGACGTCACACGGAAAACCAAGGGAGGTCGTGGCCCTCTGCAGTGATCGGTTTTATACTTTGCAACAAGACAACATGTGAACGGGTATAACAGATCCACATGGTTCAAAATCCGAAGCCACCAAAGGGCATCTGCTGACAAATCTCCCTCCTGTGATCCACCGTATGCTGTCCTCCCCGGAGGTAACCGGTTACTTAGGCTCTGAAACTCCCTCAGAAAAACTACTGATGAACACAGGCAGACAGGTTTTCCTTCCTTGCTGTTTGGCACCTCTCCCTACTTTTTCTAACGTAGGCATCTCTAGATCATTCTACCGAAATATAAAGAGAGCTTCCTCTGTTTATTTTCACAACCGCAGGCCCACGTTGTATAGAGAGGCCACAATTTTGTATGGTTCACCCTAAATAATATGATTATCTACTGGAAGCAAATATGAAATAGGGCCCACTGTGAATTGTAGGAGCATAAACCACTGTTCGTTTTGGGGGGGGGCGCAGGGCAGAGGGAGAGACAGAGAATCTCAAGCAGACTCCATACCCAGCGTGGCGCCTGATGCAGGGCTCGATCTCACGACCCTGAGATCATGACCTGAGCTGAAATCAAGAGACGGATGCTTAACCGACTGAGCCACCCAGGCGCCCCACTGTTCGTTTCTTACACTTCAAAAAGCATAAGTACTTTTCAAACTTCTCAGTATTTAAAATAGTTCATTTCACTGTCCCAACTTGTCTCCTTTTTTACCCCACAGTGAAAACTTCCTGGGAAAGCCCAGTCCGCGGGAAACATGAATACCCGGTGCCTGGCCCACCCGTGCACCCACCCACCCCAGACCGCCACCCAGTGCACACCAGACCCAGGCTCCTGGCCGGCCTGACTTACGTCCTGGTGGCCTGAGGGCCAGCCTTCAATTCCATGCCTGCATGCTCAGCCCTTTGATTCTGGAGTCGTAACGCGGATAACACTGAGCCACTCCTAAGCAAGTGCAGGTCGCCTGGTGTGTGAACCCGTGCAAGCCCACAGCCACTTACCCACGAGGACTCCCAGGGTGACCATGACAATGCCGGTGGCCACCACAGCGGAGAGGGCCACACGGCAGCACGTGGCATCGGGAGCCGGGACTTCCTTTGCCGCCCCAGGCACAAGCTGTAAGTCACCCGCCGTGGGCTCCATGGCTCCTGGACCCGGGGAAGGCCACCTGAACGCCAGCAAGAAAGGACCGAAAAACAGGGTCAGAGCTGGAGGATGCTTCTTGTCCCCCAAGCAAGGGTTTCACTCGTGCACATGTGGCAGCCTCCCACGGAGCCCCAGGTGCCTGTCTCAGTGCTAAAACACGACTTCAGGGACGCCCGGGTGGCTCATTCGGTTAAGCGTCTGCCTCCAGCTCAGGTGGGACCTGGAACCCAGCATCCTGCTCAGCAGGGAGCCTGCCTCTCCCTCCGCTGCCGCTTCCCTTGCTTGTGCTGTCTCTCCGACAAATAAATAAATGAAATCTCAAAAAAACAAAGCAAAACAAAAAAAACATGGGTTCCGTGGGACACCTGGCCAGGCCTGTGCACGTGGGCTGCGTGGGCCGCTGGGGTCCGCCGCCACGAGGGATGCACGACTTTCCGCGACGCTTGTAACAAATCACCACGAACCCAGTGGCGGGAAGGAACCAGATTTATTACTGAGCAGTTCTGGGCTCAGAAGTCCTCAAACCCCGGCGCGGGCGGGGCTGGTCCCCCCGGGGCCCCCGGGAGACCCGGCTCCGGCCTCTTCCTGGCCCGCGGCCCCCCTCCGTCCTCACCGCCAGCAGCGCGGGGTCCGCCCATCTCCGGGACTCCCACCCTCTGCCTCCCCCTCGTGAGGGCCTCCTGAGGACGCCGGGCCCCCCGGGAGCCCAGGGTCACCCCTCTGCCGCGGGAGGGGACACGTCCCAGGTCCCGGACCAGGACTGGGGACGTCTCGGGCCGCCGTCCGACCTGACCGCGCAGAAAACGCGGACACAGAGCGGACAAGACGGAGCCCGGCCCGGCGCCAGCTCGGGAGCCCACGGTGTCCTGCGTGGCCCTGGACTCTACGTGACCACCCGCGGCCGCCAGCATCCCCGCCGGAGGCACAGGCCGCTGCCCTCCCCACTGCCAGCACGCCGGGCACCGATCCTCGCTAGGGCCTCAGCGCCTAGAGGACCGGGAGCAGCCGTGTGCTCCTCGTGTCCACGCGTCCAGCCCGACCCTTCGTGGCAGCCTCGCGACAGACCCGAGACCGGGGGTCCCACGAGGCCGGGCGTTGATCGCGGTCCCGCGAGAGAGCCTGCCGAGGCCACACCACGCCAGGCCTCGATCTCAGTCTCGCGAGAGATCTGAGCTGGGGTCTCACTAGGCCGGGCCTTGATCGTAGTCTCGCGAGACCCGAGACGGGGGGGGGGGGGTCCCACGAGGCCGGGTGTTGATCGCGGTCCCGCGAGAGACCCCGCCGAGGCCCCTCGAGGCCACCCCTTGATCGTAATCTCGCGAGAGACCCAAGACTTGGGGGGGGGGGTCCCACGAGGCCGGGCCTTGATCGTGGTCCCGCGAGAGAGCCTGCCGAGGCCACACCACGCCAGGCCTCGATCTCAGTCTCGCGAGAGACCTGAGCTGGGGTCTCCTTGGCCGGGCCTTGATCGTAGTCTCGCGAGACCCGAGACGGGGGGGGGGGGGGGTCCCACGAGGCCGGGTGTTGATCGCGGTCCCGCGAGAGACCCCCGCCGAGATCCCTCGAGGCCACCCCTTGATCGTAATCTCGCGAGAGACCCAAGACTTGGGGGGGGGGTCCCACGAGGCCGGGCCTTGATCGTGGTCCCGCGAGAGAGCCTGCCGAGGCCACACCACGCCAGGCCTCGATCTCAGTCTCGCGAGAGACCTGAGCTGGGGTCTCCTTGGCCGGGCCTTGATCGTAGTCTCGCGAGACCCGAGACGGGGGGGGGGGGGGTCCCACGAGGCCGGGTGTTGATCGCGGTCCCGCGAGAGACCCCCGCCGAGATCCCTCGAGGCCACCCCTTGATCGTAATCTCGCGAGAGACCCAACACTTGGGGGGGGGGTCCCACGAGGCCGGGCCTTGATCGTGGTCCCGCGAGAGAGCCTGCCGAGGCCACACCACGCCAGGCCTCGATCTCAGTCTCGCGAGAGACCTGAGCTGGGGTCTCCTTGGCCGGGCCTTGATCGCAGTCTCGCGAGACCCGAGACCGGGAGTCCCACGAGGCCGGGCCTTGATCTCAGTCTCGCGAGAGACCCGAGACCGGGGGTCCCATTTGGCTGGGCTTTGATTGCGGTCTCGCGAGACGCTCGCAGAGACTCCTCGAGGCCTTCTCGCGAGCCGGCCGCGTCGGACCCGAGGCTGTGTCCCTGAGGCGCAGTTCCTGCTCTCCTTCGGTCTCCTGGGAAGCCTGCGGGGCGTGAAGAGCAGCCGCGGCCTCACCGCGCCGGCCTCCGGCTTCCGCTTGTCAGGTGCGCAGAGTGCGGCCCACCAGCCCACTTCCTCCGGGGACGCCCGGTGCTGGGAAGGCAGGCCGGCGCGAACCGGACCCGCCCCCTCCCCCACCCCCCACCCCCACCCCCAGCCCGCGGATCTCCTGCACCCGCCCCCCGTCTGCGCGGGCCGGGCTCCGGCCGTGGGCGCCACGACGTCGCCGAGAGGGAGCCCGGGGGGCCCCCCGAGTCGGTGCGCGGAGGCGGCCGACGGCTGCCGGGGGTCGCAGAGCTGCTTCGGGGGCCTGTGGGTCAGGAGGGAGCGCCCGGGTACGCTCGCATTTCAAAGTAAAGCGTACTTTGGGGCATAAATTTGTCCCTGGAAGGGTCAGTCTTTCGTGTCTAGTTGGCCAGGTCATGGTGCCCGGTTTTCCGGTCAAACATTATTCTAGATGTTGCCCTGGAGCTGGTTTTTAGATGTAATTAGCTTCTTTCTTGATTTTGCTTTTTTGAGAGAGAGAGCGAGGGAGAAGCAGGCTCCCCGCGGAGCAGGGAGCCCGGGTGCGGGACTTGATCCCAGGACCCTGAGGTCATGACCTGAGGCCAAGGCAGACGCTCAACGACGGAGCCACCCAGGCGCCCCCGGATGTGATTAACTTTCAGATTGGTGGAGGTTGAGTAGAGCGGATGACCCTCCCCGCTGTGGGTGGGCCGTGTGCCATCAGTTGAAGGCGCTCAGAGGAGAAGATGGCTGCCTCCAGGCGGCCTTGGGGACTGGGGCTGCAGCATCAACTCCGTCCTGGGTGTCCAGTCTGCTTGGGGACTTCTGCCTTGCCAGCCCCTCCGGTCGTGTGAGCCGTAAAGTACCGCTGTCCTTCTTGTTGGCTCTGTTTCTCTAGAGAACCTCGCTCATATAGTCCTTCATACGTCTTGGGCAACATTTGGGGCATTCTTACACTAAAAAAAAGTATCTGCTGTTTATCTGAAATCCAAATTTATGGGGCTGTGCTATATGTTCGTTGTTAAGTCTGGAATCCTATGCTGGGGCCCAGCCAAAATATTCCATCCCCAAGGGAGTGTGCCCCTGTTGGGAATGGCCACTCCATGCCTCACCGGCACCATCTGGAGCTGGTGAGAAAGGGGAGATGCGCGGGGGTGGCGGGGAGTGAGGCTGTGTAACACTTATCCCTTTATTCTTACACTTGAGCTGAACTGCCTTCTGAGGAGCCAGGGAATCTCTAAGAATCACTTGATGAAATGTTTTAGGGACAAAGACACCAAGATTCACCTCTGTGATTAGGGCTGGAAACTGAAGTTTAGTGTATGAGCTCATTGACACTCCCCCGACCAAACACACACACACACTATATTCATTCAGCCCCAGTTGCCCCTGCTACCCCCACCCCCGCCCCCCGCCAAGCCTGTGGGTTTTCTAAGGATTCCTGTGTTCTCCAAATTGTCTTGTCATCACTGTCATTAGGGCACAGAAGGGGCCCAATGCTATTTAGCATCAAATATAGAAGCACCATTCATTCGGCTTTCTACCCATCTGATATTTATGACGGGCCAGGCCTGGATGCTCTGTGCTGAGTACCCAGCCCTGAATGAGGTAGATGAGATTCTCTGAGCTCAGAGAGCTTAAATCTTAGTGGCAGAGACCCAAATAAATTAAAATTACAGCTACAATGAAGCCTTGAAAATAAAGACGTGTCCATGGGGCTTTGAGTCTGTAAAAAGGAGCTTTGATCTAGACGGGGGTCAGGAAGGGCTTCCTGGGGGTGGGATGTGTTATCTGAGTTCTGAAGGATAAGCATTTCAGTAAGTGTCCATGGAAGGAACAGGTTTCCACACAGCAAGGACAAAATGCGTAAAGCCCTGTAGCAGGAGGAGGGAAAGTAAGGGCCAGCGCAGAGGAAGTGTGTCCGTCAGCTGCTGCTGGTCAGCACATCATCACAGATGTAGCAGCTTAGAACAACGCACAGTCATTCTCTTGCTGTTTCTGTGGTCAGGATTCTGGCCTGTCTCAGCTGGGTCCTCTGCTCAGGTTCTCACTAGGCTGCAAACTAGGTGTTCGCTGGGCTGCATTCTCATCCAGAGGCTCAGCTGGGGAAGGATCCACTTCTGAGCTCCCTGTTGTTGCCAGAATTTTGTTTCCTTGCAGTTGGGGGGCTGAGGCCCCTACTTCCTTGCTGTCTGTTGGCCAGGGGCTGATCTTAGCTCACAGGCCCCTAACCCAGCAGCCACTTTGTCAAGGCCAGTGGAGGAAACTCACTGCATTGTGCTAAGATGGGAGTTGTGCAGAATACAAGGCAATAATGGGAGCCACATCCTGACACCTTGATCATCTAATGTGACCTAATCAAGGAAGCAACATGGCATCATATTCAGTGGTTCTTCTCACTCAGGGGAAGGGGTTATACAGGGCACATGTGCCGGGGGCAGAAACCTTAGGAACCTCTTAGAATTCTGCCTACCACAGAAATCACGAGGAGGGGCTGTCTGAGATGCGCACAGGGGTAGCAGGGTGCATATCTCACTGGAGTTTGAGAAGGAGAGACTAGACAAATGGGAGTCAATCTTAGAAATTAGCTGGGAACTTTCCAGAACTTGTGAAAGACCTGAATCCTCAGACTTAAAAGGCAAAATGCCAAGCATGACAGATAAATCCTCAGAGTAAATCTACAGAATAAAAACAAAGATTATAGAAGTAACTAGAAAGTAAAGACAGGCCACCCACAAAGGAATGCTGGTTAAGAGCACCAGCAGATA